AATTTATAATTTATTTTCTTTTTAAGTTCCGGGCCACTATACTATTAAAAATGTAAATCTTTTCTTAAATTTTGAAGTTCGATTTTTCTTTGATTTTTGGGATTAGTTTTTAATTATTGTATTGGATATTTTTGAATTAAAAAAGTAACAAAAAATCATCCTAAAACTTTACTAAACTTTTTAGAGGAAAATATCATAAATAAAGCTAGAACTCTAATGGAATTAAGATTATGATTGTTAAGGACCTAAGGTAAGTGGATATTATGGATTCATAGCTTACATAATTTTGAAGTATTTTACGTATTTTTAGTATAAAAATATGAAAGTGTTTGATTTATCTTTTGTATTTGTTAAGTAAATATTTGTTAAAGTTTTATTTTGATATAAGTGTTATTTCGCTTTTTGTTTTTAAAATGTGATTTTAATATATGTGCATCACTCATTATGAAAAGAAATTGTTTTGAAAACACCTGCATTATACTAGACTTCAATGTGACCATACATGATCGTTCTGTGTTCGGGTATATTAGCGAAGTGATAAATGTGTACTCATGCATAACTATTCAGTGTTCGGGTGTATTGAAAAATAGTATGTTTTGCTTGTCCTAACCGTTTCGTGTTCGAAGGATAGTAGTGTTTCAAGATACTCATATATATCATTTCGTGTTCAGGTACATGGAGAACTTGTAATAAGTATATGTGCATATGTATTATGCATGATAACTGATTAATCTTCCATAATAGTGATGAAGTATACAACGAAATAATTGTGAATCTTTTTTCTGATTTATGTATTCATCTTCTGATTCGTATATCTGTTTTGAAAAGATTATATAATATATGTTTTTTTTTTTGTAAAGAAACTATATATTATATGTAGTATGTTGTGATCATCTCACCTCCTATCATCCTCCACATACTGAAGATACCACTGCAGAGTAATGGTGATATAGAGAAAATTTTTGAAACTAAACGTTAAGATTAAAGTTATTGTTTTGTACTTTTGTTTAGTAATATAAGTAAAGAAATTTAAAGTCTCGTACATATGTTTATGTTTTACATTTAAACGATGTAACGCTTCTACAACTTTATTATGATTAATAAAGTTAAGTTATTTTACTTAACTTAAATTTATGTAATTTAAGTAAGTATACTCCGGTCATTACCCTATAAGATAGGGTATGGTCCGTGACAAAAAACGTCGTTATAAGATAAAGATCTTAGATCTTGAAAACTACTTAATAAAATTATAGAATTT